AGCAAGGTTCTCACTGTAGTCATTTTAACCACAGGTGAAAATGTCTCTGTATAGTCAATACCTGCTTGCTGGGTATAACCTTTTACCACCAGCCTAGCTTTAAAACGCTCAACACTGCCATCAGCCTTGTGTTTCACTTTATACACCCATTTGCATCCTATGGCCTTCTTACCTGCAGGTAGAGGAACTAAATTCCAAGTATGATTAGCATGCAAAGCCTCAAACTCTTGAGTCATGGCTGCTTGCCAAGCAGGGTTCATGGCAGCCTCATCATAAGAGTTGGGCTCACTATCATATGACAAGTTTCTTATAATCTGCTGATTATCACAACTAAGGGCAGTAAAAGGAATGTGATGTTTGTTGGTGAAAAGAGCATTGAAGGAAGTAGAAGTGTTGGTAGGTTGGGCAAAATCTTGGTCCTTTGAGGAAGGCAATGTGCAAACATATTCTTGGAGATAAGATGGTCTAACATGATGTCTGGTGGATCTTCTAGGTTCAGGTGCAGCAGGTTGATGAGGGTGTGGAAAATTATGAGGAGAGGTTGGTGTAGCCATAGGAGATGGTCCTGGTACATGGGGTTCAAGAACTTGACCTATTGGTTCAAGAGTGTCAGTCCTAAATAAAGGTGTATGCATATTTCGAATGTTAGCATGATCATTGTCCCAAGAAGAAGGTAAAATAGCAGTTGGTACACAAGCAGATGGAAAAGAAGAAACATCAAAAGGAAAAATATGTTCAAGAAATTTGACATCTCTAGATACATGTATTGTTTTAGTAGCTAGATTGAGAACCTTATACCCTTTTGTGTGAAAAGAGTATCCCACAAACACATGAGGAGTGGCCCTGGGTTCAAATTTATCTTTGTGAGGTTTGGTGATTGTGGGGTAGCATAAACACCCAAAAGTTCTAAGGTGAGAGTATGTAGGTTTCTTTTGGTACAAGAGTTCATAAGGACATTTGCCTTTCAAAATGGTATAGGGTAGTCTATTGATCAAATAAGTGGCTGTGAGGATGCATTCTCCCCAGTACCTAAGAGGCACTTTGGATTGAAACATGAGGGATCTGGCAACTTCAAGTAAGTATTTGTGTTTTCTTTCCACCACACCATTTTGTTGAGGTGTGTATGGACAAGATTTTTGATGAACAATGCCTTTGGATTGATAGAAAAAGGTTGCTTCTTTACTGGTGAACTCCAGCCCATTGTCTGACCTAATGGCTTTTATGGTTGCTTGAAACTGAGTTTCTATTAATTTGACAAAAGACTTGATGACCTGTAGAGTATTGCTTTTGCAACTCAAAAGATGCACCCATGTTGATCTGCTTTGATCATCAACTATAGTTAAGAAGTATTTATAATGATCATGTGTAGGCATATGGTAGGGTCCCCACAAATCCAAATGTAAAAGGTCAAAAGGTTTGGATGAGAACGAAGTACTGGTAGGGAAAGGCATTCTTGTTTGTTTTGCCATGGGGCAAATAGTGCAGGTAAAAGGTTGTTTAGGGGCAAACCTTATTGGAATGTTGGATATGTTTCTCATTTTCACAAATGGGACATGTCCCAATCTATTATGCCACAAGTAATCAATACAAGTATTAGGAGAAGAGGAGTAGGCAGAAGACATAGTACAGGAATCAACAATTTTATTATCAGAATGCTTGCAATTAGACATAGAACAAACAAGGTTTTTACAATTACACATGGAACAATTCCCACAAGAGTCATGAAACTGATTTAGACTTGAAGTTGAATCACAAACAACAGGACTTGAAGCTGAACTACAAGCAGCAAGAGAATGAACATGATTTGAACTTGAGCTGGCGAACTGACATTTTGAGCAGAGGTAATATAAACCATTTCTTGATTTACCAAGCTCCAAAGGCTTCTTCATTGAAGGGGCCTGCAACATACATGTATGAGCAGAAAAATTAACAATGGAATTAGATTGCACTGTTAAAGAGTGAATGGAGATCAGATTATATTTGAAACTAGGGACAAAGAGTACTTTGTTTAAAGTCAATTTTGGACTCAAGACAGCATCACCTATTTCTGTGACTTTCACTTTGTAACCATTAGGCAATGTAACTAGAAAAGGATATGGCAAGGGTCTAATGTTGGTCATATTTTCTATCTGAGGACATATGATTTGAAGCACCAGAGTCTAGGATCCAATATTCAGCAGAAGATTTGAAACATTTACATGATAGATTACTCATTAACTCTTTATGAGAAGAACAAGCCAATATACCTGCAAAGTTTGCAGCCCCACCAACATCATTTTGAGGGGCCTCAGCAGCATTTCCCACTTGGAAGTTATCCAGAAGTTGCATCAGTTGGTCATACTGATCCTTTGTAAGGTGTTGACCTTGATTCTGATAGTTATCATCAGGTTCAGACCCAGTTCCATGAACATGTGCTGCTGTTCCTGCATTTCTTCCCTTGGTAAATTTGAAGTCTGCTGGAAATCCATGCAATCGATAACATTTTTCCTTAGTATGACCCTGCTTTCTGCAATAATCACAAAACAATGGGGACCTGTTTGTCTGTGACTTATTTGTTCTGTAAGATTGATTTCCACTTGCACCAGGATTTTGATGTTGATTGTACTAGCCTCTCGAATTGTTGACGTTTGTGTGCTGAGTGTAGTTTGTCCTAAACTGATTTCTACCTGCATTGTGAGTTCCAGCATTTAGAGAAGTGGATTCAATGATGGACTGATTTGATGGCCTGATCTCACGTTGTTTTTCCTCCTGAATGAGAATAGAGAATCCTTGTGCTATAGTTGGTAGAGGATTCATCATTAAGTTACTCCCCCTAACCACAGTGTAAACGTCATTCAATCCCATAAGAAATTGGATCAATTGCCTGTCCTGTTCAACCTTGTGTGAGTTTGCCTTTGCTCCACACGCACATGCACAATTACACAGAACACTAGCATCTAAAGCATTGAGTTCTTCCCATAGTTTCTTCAGCTTTGTGTAGTAACTAGTGATGTCGAGAGTACCTTGGGCTAGATCGTTGATTTCTCGCTGGATCTGAAAATGTTTTGCTCCATTTGGTTGATCATACCTATCCTCTAACTCCTGCCACAATTCCTTTGCATTGTTGACGTATTGAAGACTATCTGCAATGTCTGTGGAGAGTGAATTCAAAATCCACGAAACGACCATATCGTCACATCTTTCCCATTGATTGTAAGTAGGATCGGTTGGAGGTGGTTTCACACAGTTTCCAGTAATGAATCCCATTTTGTTCTTGACTGAAATGCCTCGAAGAATGCCTCGCCTCCAGGATCTGTATCCAGTGCCGTCGAAAACTGATGGCACGAGTGTAGATCCAGCACTTTCAGCCGGATGAATGTAAAGTGGGTTTGTTCCAAGACACGGTGGATTTGTTCCATCAGCTGGATTAGTTTCTGCCATTGATGATAAGCAAGGAAGATTAAAAAGAACAGAGGAAAATTAGATGAAAAGTCGAGTGAGAATAGAGTGAGATCTCGAGAGGAAATTGAAATCTATGTGAAATAAACTTGGGTGATTGTCACACCGAGCTCTGATACCATGTTGAGAGGTGATAAACTGAGATTACCAGACCTCCATTAATGGAGGTCACATGAACTGTATGAATACAACCTTGAACAAATGAATGAAAATATGCAGATTGTTTGGGGAAGAAGAAAAGTTATCTTATTCCAAGTAATGCTGAATGTATATATACACGTATATTGAGCAAGTAAAAATATCTAGATTTTCTAACTAACTCAACTGATTCTATACAATGCATAATTAAGCTAAATGCCTCTAACTAACTATGAACAGTGCCAACTAACTGATTTGAACAGTGCCAACTAACTATTTGATTAAACTACTACATAATATTTCAATAAACTATAGATGTTTTAATATCCATGTTGAACTATAGATGTTTCATAGATCGATATAATTGAGGAGTCTTTCTGTATTTACTTTTCCTTGAGTTGTTACAAACTATAAATATTACTATTGAGTATTTTTCCAGACTTTATGTGTTGAGTATTTGAGTTGAGCGGATTTAATTCAATTTTAAGCCTATTATTGCTTGTGTTGGCTTTCCTCTTGTAGTCAGCCAAGATGAGGATTTGCTTGGGACCAACAATGGTTCTAGAGTACTCTAGTAAAATAAAAGATATTTCTCAAAAATATTTTTCATTCATAAATCAAACACTAAAAATCTTTTCCGAAAAATATTTTCTACTCACCAACCAAACATGAGAAAATAAGTTAAAAATTTACTTATTTTCCAGGAAAACATTTTCCATGAAAAACATTTTCTTTCCTACAACACACCCTAAAATAACACCTTGTAAAAATTACCACATATAAAACACCCGAGCAATTGATTCTCTCTGAATCTAACTGATACAGCAAAGAAACGAAAAAAAAAGCTGAGGAATAGAGATGGGAAAGACAGATTTTGTAAGCACTAAGCAGTGAAGACATGTGGAAAATTCAATTTGCTACATAAAGGACACGTAGCTTTAGTTGATGATGAAAAGTCTAAAATATCCTCAAATATAATTTAAATGACATTTAACTGATATGTTTATACCTAATCTCTAACTCATGCTTCTAATATAGTAGAAAGTAGAATATCCGTAATTTTTTGTTCCTCAACCATTGTGTTATTTCTTTGTAGTTCTGTTAGCATCTAGAATCGTTGTTACTGTTTTGTTATCATAAGATGCTATTTCTATTTCCTTCAATTCTTTTCCGGGACTGCTATAGATTATTTTTTCTTGAGTAGAAAATGTATCAAATACAACTTCACTTACTCTGAGGTAAAGGTATAATTTGCACACAATCTACGTTTTGTATACCACCACTTAAGGACTACACTGGGTGTGCTGTATATGTATATCAAGTCCAGGAACCAAATATCAGAGTACAGTATGCTACTAGGTGCTGTTATATGTGTGGAAATTAGATCCAAGTAAACCCCAATTCAGTGTCTAATGAACAAGGGAAAAGGGAAAAGAGCAGAATCTAATATTCCATCCAAGAAAAAATCTCTTAATATCAAGTGCTAAATCCAAACTCAATATTCTCTCCACCTCTGTCAAAAACATTTTCTAATATATTAAAGGTAGATTAAATTGCAAAAACATAAAACAAGAAAGTACACAACATAGGCAGAAGTGAAACACCCAAACGTAAATAAACATAAGAGTTTATTCTTCATCTTCCTCGTCTCCATCACCACCAGCTGCTTTCTTTGCAGCAGACTTCTGGTTCTTTCGCTTCACTCTTCCAGGGCGCCCACCACCGAAAGGACTAGTGAGAGAGAAGTCAATGTGCTTCTGGGAGTCCACTCTCACCATGAAAGAAGCAACATTCACCACCTGCCTACCAACTCTGCATAACAAACATCATTAGATTGTGGAAACATATTTTACATACTGATAAAACAGATAAATAGCACAAAGTGAAAGATTGAGAAAATCCAAAATGAGCAGGCCAAGCCAAAGTGTTTATGTTAATATAAGTACTATATAAAAAACAAATAATTCATACACTACTACTTTGTAAAATTCACGGAGCACAGGATATCATAAGGACCCAAGCCACTCAGGGTAATTGACTGACTGACGCTGATTTGGAGTCTGTTCCGTACTGCTGAAAAAAAGTGTCATTCAAGCTTTTAAGAAACTAGTTTTCTTTATAACCCGTTCAAGCTTCATGAATTTTAATCTATTAACACTTGGACATAATGGCAATAATTGACACAATTATTTCTTTCATTTCGTTGATGCAAAGGATAGAAATGGAAATTAAGTAAAGCAGTTTAACATACTGCAATGCATTTCAATTGTGCAAGTTTACACAACTTCATTATAAGCATATGGCTTATTTCAATAACAATCTACACAAATCGAAATCATAGATTATTGAATTGTATAATACTTCCAAACTCAAGACAAGTTTAACCTCTCAACAATACAGACCAACAAACAATTTTCACAAAATGCATAATGATCCTGTTCAGCAGCATCAGACTCGGAATTATTGTGCCAAGGTAAGGCATCTTAGTGGGCAAACAGAGATGTTCTGAAGCTTTAATGTATAGAAGAACATCTTCGAATAAGTGTTAGGCCGAGGATTTGAAAAGGAAAGCAAAGAACTCAGGACTTTCAACAAAATGGAGAACCCAAATATGTATTTTTTCCTCGAAAAGCACATCAATCATTAACAACGATGAAGATTGATAATGATTTGATTATTTGACTATTTTCGCTAGTCCTCACTGTACAGCAAACATCATCCTTTATATCATAGCTCGTTTTAGTAATTTCAATCTCTATAAATAAAATATTATGTTACCTCAAACATAAAATTTATGTTGGAGCTCTTTGATAAAAAGAACGTCAAATAAATGACTCAAACCTAGAACTTTTCCCATAAAAATTGTAGTGGTCAACTAATAACATTAAAAATGGCATATTGTTTTATCATTGAAGCAATTTTTTCTTTGCACTTCAAATTCTTGCAACCATACATTTGCAATTAGAGAAAGTACCAAAAATAAAAATAGGCTGAGCTAATTTTTTTATTTGAACTGTGTCAGTAAAACTGTAATATGTTAATACCTGATATGCCTTTGTCGAATGAGCACTCTAGCATGGTGGATAGACTTAGCCATGCCAGTCTTGAAGACAAGGGTTTGGAGACGACGCTCAAGAAAGTTCTCTACAGTGAGGGCCAAGACATAATCAAGCTTGTTCTGGCTCTCGTCCAATAATCCGTATCTGTTCATCCTTCTCAAGAGTGCTTCACCTTCAAAAATAGGGCGTGGGGCTTTCTCATCCAAGGTCAGAAGCATTCTTGCGGCATTCCTGATACGGCTCAAGGCATACTGGACTCTCCAAAGCTCCCTCTTGCACCTCAGTCCATATTCTCCAACAAGCTTCAACTCTGCATCCAATCGCTCCTTCTCATAAGGGCGTCGAGGCTTCTTAAAGGTTTTCCCATCTGAATTACACATCAAAGGTTAAGAAAGTATGGATAATAAATGTCAATAGCAACACAATTCTTATACAACATTAGCATCTACATATAATAGCAGAAATAGAAACTTCAGACAATGGTAAATATCTCCAGAGACTAGTATAACAAATGCTGCTACTACAATACTTGAATCACAATTTATTTGGCTTGACTGCTTGAATCCTCTCTATTCATTAACTCCCTTTGAACTAATTTATTCCCACACTCAAAAAATTGTCTCTTATGGCTAATTAGGATCTCCAACAAGAGGATTACTAGATCCCATAGTTATAACGCTATTGACAAACAAAAGAAACTCCTAAAAGAATACTGTACTGCACCAACAGGATTGAGCCTTAATCCCAACTACTTATAGTATTACCCGTATGAGTATGAATCTTTGGCTACTATAAGCTCATCTCCGAAGACTACTAGATTATCAAAGAGTGGTCATGCACACATATCCTGTTATCAGCTAATCATTAAGAAATAAGGGTCTAATAAAATGTCACAACGTAATAGAATAACAATAAAAATTTTGAACTTTTCAATTATATATCTTGACCAACCAAGAACGCCATCACGACCTTCAAAATTGTATAAAAGACAGTACATCTAATCACCAACAAAACCTAGCTGAATTGGACAATGACCTAGTATCCAATCTTTTATAATTGAATTGAATTTATCAGTACATATAAAAGGCACTCTACATTATTTCAACTAAATTGTTCACCATTCAAGATTATCTGTCCAGTATATGACAAAGTCAAAACGGTTGTTCCTAAACAAAGATACAAGCTTTTCTTTTCTTGAGTTGCAGAAATATGCAAAACAGGATAAGAGCAACAGACTAAAAAACTTGCACAAGGCTGAGCTAATAACTCAATTTTTTACAGAACAGCTAAAATTCCTACACCACAGAGTTACAGTCATGACTATTCTATCAACTGTTTATACGATTCAGCTCGACATATATATGAATAGAGTTATCAACCTATCTTAAAATGTGCATTTTAAGTTCAAACATTATCTAAGTCTAAGATCAAGGATCAGGCTCTCTACTATCTAAAACCAAACTAGAACAACAAAAAAACAACATACCTAGAGACATTTAGCATCTAAGAAACAAAATCAACGAAGATTTCATCGTTTATTATTGGGATTTTTGGAATACACATCGCGTAGAAAGAAGGAAAGAGAAGGAATTTATACAAAATTGAATACTTACAGTTGCGGTAAAAGTTAACATGCACCATACTTTCTGGTCACCGGCACCGTCGTCGCCGATCTGCTGAAGAGAACAGAAATGGCGAAGGGTAAAAATACACAAGGGTTTTAAAGTGTACAAAATTATATATATATATTTTCCTCCGACAAAACCCTAACGGGCCATTGTTGAACATTAAGCCCAATATTTGGGCGTATAGTGATTACAACTTTAGCCACTCATATTATATTCCTGAGATAAATTTCACAAATAGCTAACTCTTTTGTCATTTTAGATATTCAAAATCCATAAAATAAAAATTGAACGATAATAACTCGGATAATAATAATAAATGTGAAATCTGAAATTTCAAGACAGTGGTTATATTTTTAAAACGTAGTCGGATTCGGATAAGTTAGTGGGTGTTATTTTTATTATATTTTTCCTTTGAACTACTCTTTTAATTTATAATGTAGTTATGTTTGTCAAATTTTAGTATAGATTTTATAGAAAAAACAAGAAATACAAAATATTATCAGAGTTTATTTATCATGCACATTATTAAATTTATGAATTAAGATTGGTTAGAAAATTAACTTTCTTAATTTGTCTCTTCTGAATAAATCGGTGATTAAGTGATCAATTATTAATTGAACTAACTAAACTTAGTTATAATGTTATAAATAACAGAAATCAACACTCACAATCACTAAAAGTAATTTTATAATAGAGTTATTCTTTATTATGATATTTCATTGTTCTTGAGAGACTCTATAACATATAAAGCATTTTGAAGAGGAAAACATGATCCAAAAAGGGATGCTATTGAAGTTATTTTCTTTGTTGATCGTTATAAAACTAAAGTATGATTACATCCTACATGAGTCAAAGTACCGAAAAAATAGATTTTTCGGATATTTTATAATATAGAATCAAAATTGGATTTTTAAAATCATCTCAATCATATCGATTTTTCTTTGGTATCGGTATGATTTAGTTAATTTTCAGATTTTTTCACTTTTAGACTATCACTTCAAAATATAATATTATTAAAATATTTCTTTCGCAAGTATGTATTTGAAGAAGCACTTCAATTCTTCACCAAAATGTCAAGAATGTAAAACCTTGTTGCCGTATTATTTGATCTTAAACGTTTAATAGGAGTACTTGCATAGGTTTTATCGTATTGTTTGATGAAGTATCTATTATAGTAGCTTTTAATTTTAAATCTAACTAATTAAAGGATAATTAAAGAGCAAAAACTCAAAGTCGTCCAGTCACAAGAGGCATAGGACCGAAGTTATATTTATATTTAAAAAGTGTTTCAAAATATATTTATATATTAATTTTAACTCATTGTAAATATATAAATATATGTACATACATGTGTTATCTCCTGTATTCAGGTTAGTAAAAACAAAAATAGAAAAGATAAAATAAACAGAAAATAAATAATTTGAGTCCATAGAACCCACTGTGTATCCTTAAGAAATTTAATCTCATCAAGTACCCGATGTTGTAGGTTAATTCCTCCAAAGATAAAACGGATTAACTATTAAGGAAGTAGTGGTACCTCAAACTTCAATAATTTTAGCAAACTCAATAAACAGCAACAAGAGCACACACAGACTTAGTTGTTCGACAATTTGATTTGTAAGAAAATGTAGGCAGAAGAGAGAAAATTTTCACTTTGAAAAATGAGAGAAATCTCTCTACTTATAGCCAATTGTAGCAAGGACGCGTCTGCTAGGATAAGAGTGTGAACGTATATGTTCAGACATGTCTTTTTAGAACTTGTGTGTCTTTTAAGAAAAGAAGTGTATGTTCGGAGGAACAGATCTCTTCTGAGCAACTTTAATGTTACGCGAAATTAATTTCGTTAATTAATTAATTAACATTATGAATTAATTTTTAAGAAAAAGGAAATTAATTAATGAGATTCATTAAATAAATTTTGCCTAAAAATTATCACTCAATAGCATCATTTGCCAAAGCCAAAGTCGAAGTCGAGGCCGAGTGAGCGATGACGACGGCGTGAGAGGGCACCTTCTACTTAACCCTTTAAGAGCTACATGAAGTGTTTTCTAATATAAGGACAATCCTTTTTCCTTTTTTCAACCAATATGGGAGAAATGACCTTTCATTTTCCCTCCAAATTGGTTTCCCCACATTTCCCAATTTCACATTCATTCTTATTTCTCATTCGCACCTTGCTAAAATCCAATAATCCCCCACATGAATGGGGAATGACTATTGTTAAAACATATGCATAAAAAACTTGTGTGTCTCATAAGTAAGGATTGATTGCATCTGGATAAGTAGGTTTCCTTTGGAACTTTTTCGTAGTGAACATATATCTGATATACTCGATCAATCGATAGATTTGATATCTTTGAACCGTCGAGCTTTGGTGTATACCTAGACAACATAAGTCACACAAGCAACTCTTGAACTGTTTTTGGTTCTTATTGTTTTGTTCGTTTCAACCATAAACACATCTTGGTTAATAAGTGCTTAGAGAACTGGCCTTATTAGATTCTCCTTGAAGCGGCTTGCACTTCACACTTACATAGGTGGTTTCTAAATGTGTTATCTCATAGATACACTATTTGATATACCTTGTATCAAACTTAGAAATCATAAAAAAAGTTTTAACGCCTTTATCCTAGTTACTGACATTGTCTCATCATGAGAATGGACCATAAATTTCTTTTTGACAATGTTGAACCGTTAACATTATTTGATCTTCTTGAACCTAGATCTTGGAATATCCAGTCTTCTAGGTAGAGTTACTGCCACGATGACTTGTCTTCGATCATATTCTCATTCTTGTCGATGATCTCTCAACTCCTTCTTTAGTTAGGCCTTTTGTAAGTAGATCTGTCAGATTACCCTTTGACTTTACATAGTCAATTGTGATAATTCCACAGAGAGTAGTTGTCTAACATAGTTGTTTTTTCGTCGTATGTGACTAGACTTGCCGTCATACATAACACTTCCAACCCTTCCTATTGCAGCTTGACTATCACAATGTATGCATATATAGGCCATTGGTTTGGGCTAAAACGAAATATCTTCTAAGAAATTTCGGAGCCATTCAACTTTTTCAACTACTTTATCTAAGGGGATGAATTGAGACTCCATTGTAGAGCGAGTTATACATGTTTGTTTGGATGATTTCCAATATATTGTTCCTCCACCAAAAAGTGAAAACATATCCACTCGTGAATTTAGTTTCATTTGACTCATTAATCCAATTTGCATCACTATATCCTTCAACAACTCTTGGATATTTTTTATAATGCAAAGCATAGTTTTGAGTGTCATCTAAGTACCCTAAAATCCTCTTCATTTCCATCCAATGATTTTGATTGGGATTACTTGTGTATCGACTCAGTTTACTTATAGTGTAGGCTATGTCTGGTCGTGTATAGTTCATGACTTACATCAAACTTCCCAATACTCTGGCATAATCCAATTGAGACTAACTTTCACCTTTATTCTTAGCAAGATCAAGGTTCACAACAATTGGTGTCTTTGCCCTTTTGAAATTCAAGTATTTGAACTTTTCAAGTACCTATCGAATATAATGAGATTGAGACAATGCTAGACCATGAGGAGTTTTATGAATCTTAATTTTCAATATCAAATCGGCAACTCCTAGATCTTTCATATCAAACTTACTAATGAGCATACACTTAGTATCTTTTGCATTAGCAATGTCCTTACTCATTATCAGCATGTCATCCACATATATGCATACAATGACCTCTTGATTTGGAACGTCTTTAATGTAAACACATTTAGCACATTCATTGATCTTAAATCCATTTGCCAACATGGTTTGATCAAACTTTGCATCCATTGTTTCGGTGCTTGTTTTAGTCCATAAAGTGACTTAACAAGTTTGAACACTTTCTTTTCTTTACAAGGAACTACAAAGCCCTCAGGTTGTCCCATGTAAATCTCTTCCTCCAACTCTTCATTTAAGAAGACGGTTTTTGCACCCATTTGATGAATTTCAAGACCGTATATTGCAGATAGGGCAATTATCATCCGAATTGATGTAATCTTAGTCACAAGTGAGTATGTTTTAAAATAATCAAGACCTTCTTTTTGTCTAAAGCCTTTGACAACAAGTCTTGTTTTGTATTTGTCAATAGTTCCATCATCTTTCATCTTCCTTTTGAAAATCCATTTTGAACCTAGAAGTTTGTTTCCTAGAGGAAGACCAATCAACTCCCAAGTATGATTGCTTAAGATTGACTCAATCTCACTATTGACAGCCTCCTTCCAAAAGATTGAGTCAGTAGACAACATAGCTTCCTTGAATGTTTGAGGCTAACTTTCAAAAAGGAATGTTACAAAATCAAATCCAAATGAAGTAGATGTCCTTTGATGTTTACTACATTTTGGACTCTCTTTATTAGGTACATTCTCTTTTGGTTCTTCTCGAGGTCGATTAGACCTTTCACTAGATAACTCAAGTCTAGTTTTATATGGATAAATATGTTTAAAGAATTCAACATTATCTGATTCCATTATCGTATTGTCATGAATATCCAATTGTCATATGTTCGGACTTATGAATAAAATATCGACATGCCTTACTATTTATGGCATATCCAATTGATACACAATCCACAGTCTTAGGTCCTATTTTGACCTTTTTATGTATAGGAACTTGGACTTTGGCCAGACATTCCCATACTTTGAAATATTTCAAGTTGGGTTTTCTACCTTTCCATTTCTCATATGGAATAACATGTGTCTTGTTGAGAGGCACTTTATTGAGTATTCGATTTGCTGTAAGGATAGCTTCCTCCACAAGTTTTGTGGTAAACCTGAATTTATAAGTAATGCATTCATCATTTCCTTTAAAGTTCGGTTTTTCCTTTCCGCAGTTCCATTATATTGAGGAGAGTAAGGGGAAATAGTTTGATGGATGATTCCATTTTCTAAACATATTTCTGCAAATAAAAATTCATATTCTCCACCTCTATCACTTCTGATCATTTTTATCTTTTTATCCAACTGATTTTCAACTTATATTGCCTAAATGCAACTATTGCTTCATCCTTATCATTTAACAAATAGACATAACAATATCCAGTGCAATTGTCAATAAAAGTT